TAACTCCCATCATCATTGGCTATATTGTCTGGGTACACTAATAGGGGAGCCCCTAGTGGCGCAGTGGGTTAAACCACTCATCAGCTGAACTTGCGAACCGAAAGGTTGCAGGTTCAAATCCGGGGAGCAATGTGAACTCCCACTGTTAACCCCAGCTTCTGCCAGCCTAGCAGTTCAAAAACATGCAAATGTGAGTAGGTTTGAACCTGCAACCTACTGACCCCCAACCATAAAACTATTTTGTTGCTACTTCATAGCTGTAATTTTGCTACTGTTATGAATAGTCATGTAAATATCTGATATGCAGGATGTGTTTTCATTCACTGGACCAAATTTGGCACAAATACCTGATATGCCCATATGTGGATACTGGTGTGGCGGGGGGGGGGGGGGGGGGGGGGGTGATTTTGTCATTTGGGAGCTGTAGTTGCTGGGATGTATAGTTCACCTACAATCAAAGAGCATTCTGAACTCCACCAATGATGGAATTGAACCAAACGTGGCAAACAGAACTCCTGTGACCAACAGAAAATACTGGGTTTGGTGGGCATTGACCTTGAGTTCTGGAATTGTAGTTCACCTACATCCAGAGAGCACTCTAGACTCAAACAATGATTGATATGGACCAAACTTGGCTTGAGTACTCAATATGCTCAAATGTATACACTGGTGGAGTTTTAACATTTGGAGGTTGTAGTTGCTGGGATTTATAGTTCACCTAAAAAGAGCATTCTGAACCCCACCAACAATAGAATTGGCCCAAACTTCCCACACAGAACCCCCATGAGCAACAGAAAATTGTTTTCTGATGGTATCTGACAATCCCTCTGACACCCCCTTGCAACCCTCCCAGGGGTTGAGAAACTGGTTTATGCCTTGTCTTGAACATAGTTTTTCCTTTACCATTAGGCTAGTACAGATCATGTATCATTTTTTCTGCTGTTAATCAAACAAATAAACTTTTAGAAATAATAGGAGAGGGAGAGATCTAGCAAAAGAAAATCTGCTGAAATGAAAATATAGGGAAAATGAAAAAAAATGACTCCAGAATCTACAGCTACACTCTGAATTCTATGGCAGGTGGTATTCATTTACAACATGAAAGTAAAGCTGGCTTTAACAATCTGAGGCAAAACCTCATCAGGAGAAAACAGGCTGTTTCTATTAATATATTGTCTATATTGACCAAAAGATGAAGCAAAAGAAAACAACACAGACACATGCTTCCTTGCTGATGTAGAAATTTCATGCACATTCAGAATGTTCGAGTTTACGCAGATTTTTTTAAAGGCACATCTGGGTTAAGGTTCCCCAACCAGAGCTTTTAAATACGCACATCTAGAACAAAATCATAGGCAAGAGTGCCATCAGAATATCTTTATGTCTCATAAGTTGGCTCAAAGAGATGAGGGCTGAGTGCATGTTTTACTTGCCATGAAAACCATCAAGAAAAATATGTAGCTAACAATAGGAATCCATGCTGTAAGTTTGCAATGAACTTATAGGTTGAAGTTATAATTCTGCTATTGGTCACTAAGGGAGGAGGCCTGTGGACCCAACCATATCGCTTTTGGGCAAGAGCGGGGAACATGGGGCCTTTCAGATGCAACTCTTATTGGTCTGAAACACCATGGCTAAGGTTCATTAATCATGGGAGCTTGTTCTCCACCAGCTGCTCTAGAGTAAGTTATTGCTTATCATTTGAGAGGCTGCTCTTCCATTTCTAGAGCATGATCTCCATGACTATTTGGAGAAATAATGGAATTCTGTGCATTATTTACAATGTTTTGAGGCTGTCTGCACATATTCAGAAGTGGATGGGACAAGTCATTCATCTTGGCTTATGCCACATTAGTCAGTCTCCTAGCAGACTAAGATACCTGGAGAGTTTATCATCATCAGCCTAAAATCAGTTGCTAGTTCTAAGCAGAGTAAACCTAGTGAATCCATGGGATTTACGTAAGAACTCATGCTACCAATCAACCATGGATTCATGGATTTCTTGTACTGAATCAATGGGTTTGTATGTTGTTTCTCTGACAATGCACATAGATATATAATGCACAGATATATAAGCCCCAATTGCCTAGTTTCCAACAGACCTCTCAACCTCTGAGGATGCTTGCCATATATGCGGGCAAAACATCAGGAGAGAATGCTTCTGGAACATAGCCATACAGCTTGGAAAATTCACAGAAACCCCAAAACAGGAGGTCTTCTACTTTTCTCAATATAAACCTCTCAACTCTATTAGAGAATCTAGAATAAACCAAATAATGCAAAAAATACCAGACTATACACTTGTATGGTGTTGAAAATGCACAAGGTTTCCTATGTTAATGGAAAGTTTGTTAGATTACAATGCTCATTTGACATCAAAATACAGTACAAAAACAAAACATTTGCTCCCATGCCATTTCTAACATGGAAAATGTGGCTTTCAAAGTCACTTGGTGCTCCGTTTTGCTTCAAACTTTTAAGTTTCATAACTTTTGGGAGGAAAATCAATATCTTTGTGAATATGTTTCCCACCTAGGCTTCTTGTCCCTCCAGAGCTTTCAAACCACTTGCTTGCTGCTTGCACTTTTGAAATGAGCCAGCAAACAAAATCGCTTCAGGAAAAAAAAATGGTTTTCAGAGTGCAGAGCTATTTGACCTTCTCACTTTGGAAGAGCATCTATTGCCTATTATGCCCCACTTACAGCTAATGCTCATTTTTGGTTAATATTGAGTGCTCAGTCATTTCCACCACATCAATTAGAATTAACTACTTCCATTCATACGACCTTTTAAAATGATTCATAGTCTAATTGCAACTCATTTCAATGATTGGATGCCAGCAGAGAGAGAAAACATCTTCAGTGACTGAACAGATATTATTTCCTTCTTACATTAGGACCAGCATATAATGTTCCTTCTAACTTCTAAGGGACATTTAATGTTGAGAGTAAGTTTACAAAGAAGAGCATAAGGAAGAATTACGATATTTTGTATCTAAAATTGCCCTGTTTTTCCTCACCTCCTACTAGTTTCATGAAACAGAATTATATGAACTAAGGTGTTCAACAGTATGTGAATAGGAATTAACCTATAGTACCCTGTAGAAAATATTTATATTAGAAGATTTAACATTTGAATTTAAAAGATACCAAACCAACAGAAAACGGAAGTCTTTCCAGCAGATAGAAGACTAGACAACGATTGTCGTATAACCTGTTACAGATATACTACATATACTCAAGTATAAGCCAAGATTTTCAGCCCTTTTTTAGGCCAAAAAAGCCCCCCATGGCTTATACTTGAGTCAAAATTATTTATTATTTTACTCTGTTATTATTTACTACATTTATTATTTTACTCTATTTATTATTATAATTATTACAATTACATTATTTTACTCTATTATTATTTTATTACATTTATTTTTGTTATTTTTACATTTATAATTTTACTCTATTATTACTGTTATTACATTTCCATTATTTTACTCTATTATAATTATTTTATTACAGTTATTATTTTATTCTTTATTATTATTGGAAGGATACTTAAGCACATTTACATTGAAGACAGAATAATTGTTTAATCAGAGTTGGGCAGTCTTATCTCAAATTACAGTTTTATGTAAACACTCAAAAACATTTAACAAACTGATGCCTCAATTAATGTAATTTTATTGGTATCTATTTTTATTTTGAAATTTATCAGTAGCTGAAATTGACCTCGACTTATACTCGAGTCAGAACGGCGCTCCATGCAGTCATGCTGGAAACATGATCTTGGAGGTGTCTTCGGACAACGCTGGCTCTTCGGCTTAGAAATGGAGATGAGCACCACACCCCAGAGACAGATACAACTTGACTTAATGTCAGGAGAAACAAATACTCCAGTCAATATGTTTTCCCAGTTTTTTGTGGTAAAATGAGGTGCCTCAGCTTATATCCAGGTCAGCTTACACTCAGGTATATACGGTATGTTCCCAGGTCCAAGAGTTAATGGTTGCAGTAAGAACTGTGGTTTTTAATGTGCAGAGAAGTCTTTAGTTGCTTTAAAGGCTACAGTTCCTAGAATTTCTTGGCTGAAGAAGCCAGGCAGTAGATATACCACAAGAGATGCTAGGAGAACTCACTCTGCTTGGGAGAAGGAACAGTTTCATGAAGCTGTCCTGAAATGCCCAGCAAGAAAACAATCTGCAGGCTCAATAATCTTCCATTCACTCAACCCAGCAAGTTCTTCTTAACTACTAAACTTCACATCTCCCAAGCCCACTACTCTGACTTTAGAACAGTGGTTCTCAACCTGTGGGTCCCCAGGTGTTTTGGCCTACAACGCTCAGAAACCCCAGCCAGTTTACCAACTGTTAGGATTTCTGGGAGTTGAAGGCGAAAACATCTGGGAGCCCACAGGTTGAGAACCACTGCTTTAGAAGGTGCACTGGGAAGGAAGGAAGCTAAAATGACTGAGACATGGGGGAGAAAATCAAAGGGTGGAAGATAGCTATTGTCCTGCACCAACTTATCCCAGTTGTCTTGGAGGGAGCTTTATCCCAGTGACCTGGATTGCCAGGCAAGTTTTGTCTCCTGAACATTTGAAGCTCTCCTTCAGACATAGGTGACTAAAAAGTTTCAAAGAGGTTCATAAATGAAACTAACTATTCCTAATGTTTAATTTGTTGAGAAGTCAGATATGGCATGGATCAAAAGTGGTTGTTGGCTTTCATGTCAGAAGAATTCAATTTTAATTGCAGTCAGAACTTTAAAGAAGCCAATTACTCAGCCATGCTATGTCTTCAAAACAGGCCCAGCTCCTTGGATAGCTCCTCTAAAATTGAAACCAAAACCCACTTACATGGAAACCACCAAACTTCTACAACCATGAATGGTTAGACTGTTCTGTATAGTGGGGTTGTTGTTGTTGTTGTTACATCATGATACTCCAAAGAAAAAGTCAGACACAGTGTTCTTTCTAAAATAAAATCATATGACATTACCTGAACATGGTGAAGTTGCTAAAGTGACATTTGCCAGTCCTATACATTTTTATTCAAGAAGGAAGTCCATCAACAATCTAGGTCCTTTGGAATTAAAGTAAGCATGGAACTGCAGCTTTCATTGGAACTAAAGGGAATAATAGGAGATCACACAAAGAAACACCTCCCACACCAATTGAAATCTAGTTTGCTTTTAGAAAAATGTGCATATACAAGTGAAGTGAAACTTTAAGTCAACTTCATAAACCAAAAAGCAGAACATAAGAAAAAAAAAGCAATATACAGTGCTAGGTTTGCATACATGTAATAGTAAGTCATGTTTGAAGGGGGACACCTTGAAACCAAATACAATAATAAATTAAAGTATAAAGCTACAGTTGCCAGAAATGGCATTTTTTGTGTTTAAGAGGTGCATTTCATTTAAATATATATTCATTTAAATATTTTAATATAAAAAATATCTAGAGAGCAAGTTACAACTGAGCAGTGACCAACAGACCCTTAACACTCTGGTGTCTATTTAAAGTGCCTCTTGAGATCAGCTCTTGCAATATGGTCATCAGATGCTCAGTCAAGGCTTGCTCATTGTAGCTTTCGGGCCTCCAGCTGTGGATGACCAGAAGGCCCACTGCTTCTCTTTCCACGACGTAAGTGAAGGTCACTGGTTCGTAGAAAAGACATGTGCACATGCCATGCTCTGCTGCAATTCAAGAGGGTCTGCTTTTAAGATTGGCTTTGCCCAACAGCATTTGGTTCTTGCCTCTTTTTTCCTTTGCAGCAATATAGGCCAGCATCGCCTGTCTTCAGTTAATAAGTATCATGTGGTCATCGTTTTTCTGCCTGCAGAATGGGGAACAAGAAATTTACCATTTCATAGCAATGTGATATCACTATGCTGGGAAGTGTTACAAACAATATTAATGTACATTTGACAGCTGAGGCTCCTGCTCTACTAGCCACAGTCCCCCATCATATCCTTATATTAATTCTGCTGTTCCCTACTTTGCATTACAACTTTTCTAGTCCTCAAAAAGATAGTTCAAAGGTGAAGTGGGGAAACGAACAACAGAAGTGCTACTCAAGTTCCAGAGTGTTTCCAGAATATATTTGGGGATACCCAATGGTTGACTATTGATATAACTGCTGTAAATAAGTGTCTCCTTGCATCTCTTTCAAGCACAGCGTTAAGCATGTACACTAACCACATTCAGAAAAGATTCCTCACTCAGCTTAAACAGCAAAATCCCTGTATCCACGTGGGATAAGTTTCCAACTGGGCCACAGTTTCCTGAAACTGCAGGTATGATGGAACACTATTAAATTACTTGACTTCCACTCCCAGCATACTGTAAAGTTGTGCTAGAGGACCTACAGAGACCTACAGGAATCTTCTAGATCAGTGGTTCTCAACCTGTGGGTCCCCAGATGTTTTGGCCTTCAACTCCCAGAAATCCTAACAGCTGGTAAACTGGCTGGGATTTCTGGGAGTTGTAGGCCAAAACACCTGGGGACCCATAGGTTGAGAACCACTGTGCTAGATCCTCAGCACACCTCTATGACAGCTTCCAATGGAAGCAAACCATAGAATCACCTTGAGGATTTGGCAATATTCTAGAATGGGGAAGTTAAACTGTGGTTATGGTATCTTACTGTATTCAGAAATAACAACACGAGCCACCAACTTTGAGCATGATGTATGCCTTTATTTGATATTGCATTTTGATTTTCACTTCTAAATTAGCATAATCATGCTCAGAATTAACTAATGTACTTTAGGAAGGGGTATAGGGAAAAGAATTGTTGAAAACTTGTGGTATTATGGAAGCAGAGTGAATGCAGTATTGGCTTAATTATAAATAAATAAACAAACAAACAAACAAACAAACAAACAAACAAATAAATATCATTCTGCCCGCATCATTCAAAAATACATCACACAGTCCTAGATGCTTGGTAAGTCTTTGATTTGTGATTTTGTGATACAAAATCCAGCATATATATCTCATTTGCTGTGACATACTGTGTTTTTGTGTCATTAAAATAATAATAATAATAATAATAATAATAATAATAATAATAATAATTCTTTATTTATATCCCACCCCATCTCCCCAAGGAGACTCAGAGCATCTTACAACAGCAACGTGAACAACAGCAATGCAAACAACAAACACTAATATAATTAATAGCCAGTTTAAAATTAAATCAACAAAACAACAGAAGCAAACAACAGAAAATAGCACTCTAGCACTATCACCTATAGTTCTTTAGAAGTAGCTTTCTATAAGCATTGTGATATTCTGATATCTTGTTTGATGAGGTATGGGTTATAAAGGCACAATATTAAATACTGAGGGCTAAAAGCATAAAATCATAAGAGTTGGAAGAGACCACATGAAATCTAGTCCAACCCCTTGCCATGCATAAAAAGCACACGTAGCTAAGAAACTGGTGAGATTGCTGTGAAAAACTCAGCATGCCCAATTCAATTTTTAATTTTGAAAAAAAAATACTTAAGAATATTTTTTAGAATTTCCTCTACATGCACAATTTTTGTTTCAACGAGGCTCTGTGGTGCAATCTTTCCTGTGGGAACGTAGTCCAAGCAAAAAATGGCACTTAACTCAGCCAGACGATAAACAGGCATATGGCTTAGGACAAAATGGCAGGGACCTGGCAGAGCCATTGGTGATGAGATCCTTCCTCCTCCTCTTTCTTGGAGCTAAGGAAGTTTAAAAAAATAAAAACCAGCAAGTCTGAGGAACCAAATTTAAGTGCACCCCATTTTTGAAGCTTCTTAAGTGCAAAAACTGAATGCCTTAGATTTGATGAAATATGGCATTTCTCCTTGGCTGACAGTCCTTAATCATCCAGCTCCTTCCTGCCAACAAAAACAAATGGTCCTTCTTTTTCATAGCACACATGAGATTCCCTGGGTCTGTCTCTTCCTTGTTTCAACTCTCCGTCACCTAAGATCTCACCCCCATTATATTTTGACTTGCTGCCTTGGACTCTAGGCTCCCTACAGCTGCTTTATCTTCTCACCTGTCATCTGATAGTACACAGACCCTCCTGACTTAAAAACAGCATGGGTTTTCTTTAGAGGCCTCTTTTGTTTCTGTTCCGTGTTTCCCTTGACCATGAAGGCAGCCATAGCCTTCTTCTTGCATCCCAGTGTCTACATTCAAGTCACGGCATAGAAGAGAGCTCCTAACCCCTGAGAAAGTGGAGGACCTATTGTAATCGTATCATGTCTAATGAAGATCGGGAAGAGATTATCATTCTTTCCTTTTGTTGCCTATCAGCAGATATCCATATATCCAGCTTCCAGCAGGGAAAGCAATCTGTTCCTCAAAATATTTAGATCAATTGGCCTCACTAGGACAGCCCTCACGCATACAAAAAAGAATCACATACTCCTCTAGTTTTAGAAGCCACCTCATAATTGTAAATAGAAAAAACAGGCATAGAAGTTCCACTCAGACTGTGTTTGTGCCCCATTGGAGATCCCATAAAGAGCCAAACTCAAAAAGGTATAGGAAGAACTGCAGAACTACTGGAAAGAAAGCACACCAACCTCCTGCAGCAACAGAAGCTCAGGGATGTCTGTGGCTCTCTGCTGTATTCTTCACTGTCACAATCTTTTAGAAATTCATAAAGATCTGTAACTGGAGCACCAATTTGTTGGTATTTCTGAAACAGACAGAGAGGCCATGAAAAATAATTGGACTCGGCTTATCCAAGCTGTCAAGGCAAAGGATGCAACCACCTTCTGGCGTATTACATCTAACATAAGAAGCTGGGACCGAAGTGCTGTACTTCCAGACATATCACAGAGCAAAAGAAATGGTTAAAGACAACATATTGGCAAACGTTTCTAAATGTATCATATACTAAAATAGGGCTGGGGACGTATTCTACACAATACCAATGGAAGAGAGGTAGAAACAGTATTATTTTTCTGCATTTTCTATTTTTTTCTGACAGAATAATTGGATTGCGGTGTTGGCAGGCACAAACAATGAAATTTTCCTACATTTGATTGATGACTATAACAGAACCAATTGCCAAGGGCAGGTTTGTACTCTCCAACGGTTGTAGTACTAGGTACCTTCAGCTGTACACATGGCTTTTCAGTATTTCTGCTAAAAATAACAATGACAGACCAGCATCTACCATCTTTAGATGTTTTCTGATGCTGTGTGTTGGCGCATGTAAGAAATCAGTTAGTGTGTTAACTGTAAAATGCAAGGCACGAAGCTGATTGGTTGGGCCATGCGCAGGGAGCTAGCTGAGCCTGGGAGTTTTGGCAACAGTTACATATTCAGGCTTAAGCTATGCAAGTGCTTGCAGAAAGAGAGTGACATTTAGTGTGTTCATGCTTCATGAGCTGCTGGAAGGAGATTTTACACATGGACACCGAAAGTCCATTCTGAATCTCTCAAAAAGGACATTGTGTGAGTCAATGCAACTGATCACATGTTTGTATGTATGTTGTTCTGTATTACAAAGAGTAAACTACTTCTTTACTTATAATATGCATGGCGTATTTTCTTTCTCTGGCAAGATAGTATGTGGACAGATAAAATGTGAACGTGTGATTTTCATTACACCACATGGTGCAACCTTATGTACAAATCAGGTCAACCACTGTCCCCAGCCTACCCTGTTCTCACTTTAGAAGAAAAAGAACACTCAAAAAAGCATTATCTTACCATTAGTTCAATTATAGATGGTTTAAATTTGTCATTATATTATGTAAAGAACCCTTCCAGAAGTTAGCATACATTACTATGTCATGAGAAAGAGTTGACATATGTATTCTTCACATGAAAAAGCATCAAATGAGCAAATATGAGCCCTGACATGAAAAATAAATAGTAGGGCTAGCAAATTTTGTTTAAAAGCAAAACAAACACACAAACATCAAAACAAAACTACTTGCAAAGACTGAAAAATCTCAATATTTTCTATGAAAAGAGGGCAAGCCTAAACAAGCAATGATGAAATCAACTGACAAACTAGATGGAAGCACATTTTCAAGCCTTTACCAATATGAGCCATTTTCACCTTCCCCCACCTAAAACATTTCCATAATCTACATCCGAATGGGATTTAGCCCTCCAGGTATTGCTGAACTGCAGCTTCCACCAACCATAGCCTGATGAGAAATATTTCAAGCTGCAACTGAACATAACTTAGATCAGTGGTTCTCAACCTGTGAATCCCTAACTGTTTTGGCCTACAACGCCCAGAAATCCCAGCCAGTTTACCAGCTGTTAGCATTTCTGGGAGTTGAAGGCCAAAATATCTGAGGACCCACAGGTTCAGAACCACTGACTTAGATATTTAACTGTTCTTTCAGACACTGCTCTGGGTGATGTGAGAGACCAGCAGTTATTTCTTAATGTGCCAGAGACCATCATATTTGTGGCCATTGATCATAATTCTTTATTTCCTTCCTGGAAACATTGTCAGAATTTGGTTGCCAATGGCTTAGGCACTAATACTGGTCCCAGAACCATCACTTTGAGTAACAGTGACCTAAAGGGTCTCACTATTCTCATTTCTGCTTTGAAATAGCTCATCTTTCACGCAATGGCTTTACCTTTATGGTATCATTTACCTTTATGGTGTCATAGGCATCTGTAATAAGAGCAATAAAAAGGCTCAGAATCATATATATGAAGAGGCTAATGAAGGAGTACAAGTAGAGTCGACTGAAGAGCCACACTAAAGTACTTTTCTGCTGGATTTGTGCAAATGTCGCGAACATGTCATCACCATTGACAAGAGAAAACAAGCACTCTGCCACTGTATTCAGGTCTTCAAACTAGAAAGCAATGGAAACACAATCATCATCAACGAAGTAGCCACAGTACTTGTAATAAACAAAGATTTTATTTTAAAAATCTAAGATGGCTCATTGATCAGTAAGGTTGATCTGAGGCAACGGTTCTCAACCTGGGGGGTCACGACCCCTAGAGGGGTCAATTGGGTGTTTGAGAGGGGTTGCGCCACCTCCTCCTTTGGCCCTGCTTCCTCCACCTCCCTGGAACGGCTGACGGGCCCCCTCTGCCATCCAAACAGTCAGCAAGCACCCGTATTCACCCCTGCTTCGCCTCCTTCTCTATGCCATCTGTAACTCAGGGATGGCCTGTAGTCTGGAGAACAACATCATCACAGTAATGTGGACAATGTGAAGTTATGAAGTAGAAATGAAAATAATGTTATGGTTGGGAGTCGCCACAACATGAGGAACTGTATCAAAGAGTCACAGCATTAGGAAGGTTGAGAATAACTGATCTAAAGTGTATAGTAGTTGTTACTGTGCATTTTCTGATTTATAGCACCCCTAAAGTGAACCTATCATGGAATTTTACTTGGCCAGATTTGTTCAGAGGGAACTTGCCCTTTTCTTCCTCTAGGGCTGAATGTATTTTCCCAAGGCCACCCAGTTGGTTTCCATGACTGAGTGGAGATTCAAACATAACTGCAGCTCAACACTCTAACCACTATACCATGCTGGTTCCTAAAGCGCATAAGTATCAAGCCTAAACATTATACCAATCTCACAGTCAGAAATAGCGCTTGGGAGAAAAAATGGTTTATAGCTCCCAAATTCCCGTAGCTAGTATGATCTTTGTAGAAAGGGGACAATCCAACCCATTATAGTTAATCACAGGGAGTGAGATGTTTATGATAGTAATGTGGCACAATGCTGCACATTAGTTATTATGGTTAGAATACAAAGGAACAGAGCTCTATATCTAAAACAGAATTATTGGGCTTATTTTCCAACCCCAATCACTTTTGTGATCTACATCCCCTCTCCAGCACACACTTTTGTGAACTACATCCCCTCCTGTTTATGTTTTTTTCCCAAAAATATCACTATTTTGAAGATGAAACCGAATGATAAAATGGTACTTAAGAGGAAAAAGCGGATCTATGAGGATTTGTGGGGTTGGAAAGGGTGTGCATTTTTGTCTGCTTTTACATGTTTGCATGCATTTTGGAGAGCCCCAAGATGCAATTTGCAGAATTTTTTTTACCTAAAATTGCACTTTTTTAAAAAAGAGAAGAGCTCAAGGAGTTTTGAAGGGATCTTCAGGGTAATTTATATGCCTGCAGGTCATACTTCTCTGGCCATACTTGGGAGTCTGTGACAGCCAGAATTTACAGTCATAAAGACGGCATTGAACCTTGTGTTTTTATGTGTACATAAAAATATATATGGACCTCATACTCACACAGTGCACTCACATACAGACACCATGCACATTTCTAGCACATTTTGATGGGCATGCCATTTTCAAAACATCACCTCTCGCTTCTCCTAGCCAGCTTGTAGCACTAGATAAAATGTTTGGATATTGCACAGTTTCAAACAGAACAATGTCCCTGTTCTGTCAGCAGTTTCATGAAAGTCACATTAAGACCATGACATGTGGCATTTTGAACAAAAGAAGAGAATAAGAAAGCTCAAAGCTGGCAGCCAGTTATTTAAGACATCCAAAGTCTTACCTAGTAAAGAGACTGTATGTATCCAAGTCACACCAATGTAGTGCAATGCTGCCCCCTTGTGAGACACCAAGAAGTAGGCCAAAACCAAGAAACTGATGTGATGAACCTTTCACTGTGTCTCAGAGCCAGTATCTTGATTACATTTGGTGATGCCAGCAAAAGGAGTTGCTAAACAAAACCAAGCATCACAGTTTCTTCTTTTTTTCCACATTGAATTCACAATGCAATATTTTGTGTTCAGAAAAGGAGATATTTTGAGAGCAGAACAGGTCAAACAAAACATATATTTTGTTTTTTCTACTTCCACGGGAGTCCTGTGTACTCCTAACAACTGTGAAAGTGCCCATTTATCCACATCTAAATTAATGTTTATGTACTACAACTCTTTTTATATTATAGCCTAGTTACATACCAAAATAGGTTTCAAAAAAATCCCATATGCCTCCATACCTTTTCATGATATGGTCCTAGAACAATCCAGCCACAGAAAGTATAGCCAAGATAAATCATTCCAGCACAACAACAGAACCGAAGAACTTTGGGTAACGATGCTTGCATTGTTAAAATTAGCACCTAAGAATAGGAAAAAGGAAGCTGTCAGATTTTCACAATAGAAAGGAGACAAGTTATGAATATTTCACTCTAGAGCTTACGTTGTAAGTCTGGAAATAACCCAGGTACCGAATGACTCCAACCCAAACAAACAGAGTAGATGTTCCAAGCAAAATACTGCAAACATCATAGCTTGTAAGATTCTGAAAGAAAGGAGAAATCCAGTCATTCAGTTTTCATTAGTCTCCAATGAATAGGATACAAGGCAGCTGCCAAGACATTTTTTAAATGACAAGTTGAGAATCACTTATCTGGAATGCTTGGGACCAGAAGTATTTGGGAGTTTGGATTTTTTTTCAAGTCTGGAGATAATTTTCTGCACAGTATTTTAAATAATTTTGTGCATGAAATGAAGTGTGTGTACATTGAACCATCAGAAAGCGAGGTGTCACTACCCATGTGGACAATTTTGGATGGCATAGGATTTCAGGATAAGCAATGCTCAACTTCTACCAGTAAAAGCAAGACAAAATGTGCATGTTAAAATACTGATTGAATTGGGCATGCTACTAAAAGTAAGTTAATGTTGAAAATAGCAACCTTCTTCAAGTGTCCACTATTAATTTGTTTTGTATATGATTCTGTTTGCTTACTGTGTTGTATATGTATGTTTTGGTATGCAGCTTTCCCTTTACTCTGTTTCCTGAGAAGTTTTGGGAGGTGCTGCAGACCATAAGATCAGATCTGAGACTGCTCAGACCTAAGACTCCATTTTAGAGGACTGACTCCATTAGACTCTCAGAATGTAAAGATGTTGCTGTTTGATTGTAAGAAAGATGCCCTGTGTTATCTGCACAGAGAAACTACTTAAAAACCTATCTGGAACTGGGCTGAACAGTTATGTACCTGTATAGTGAATACATGAAAGTTGTGCGTAAACAAAACATGTTACTTTTAACAGAGTCTACTTTATTTGTGTCTCTTGAGAGCATGATATAGAAACAAGATATTTTATGGGAGAGTAAATGTTTTTGGACAACTGAAGAAAACACTTCTGAAGAACTGCTATATTTTGTGCATTAGAATAATCTATGTTCCTAACAGTTCAGAGAGATAGCCAGGTATATCAGTCTAACAACTGAGAAACCTAAATTCCCTTGCATGAATGCTAGTGGATATATACCAATATATCCCAATATACCAATTCACTCAAACAAGTTTTTAGCTCTTCTCAGGAAGATCATACTTTACAAAAATGTTATGATCATTCCAAATGGCGTGAATGCCAATTAATCTCCAAAAGGTCACACTTCCAAAAGGCTATGGAAATTCTGGTTTTCCAATAGTTAAAACAGTTTTAAATCCTTCAATAGTAAATTAAAACCTCATTGCAGAGAGGTAATCTGCAAGAATCTAATACTGAAAGCTATAGAGAGATCAATTGGAAACAGAATTCCGTTGCTAATATAGGTTATCCACCAAGGCAACTGATGGTATCTCTCTTCCTTAAGCAGAGACTGGGTAATATTAAGTAAAGTACACAGGTTTTGAGACAGTAGGTTCCTTTTATGACCTAAAGGACATATGAGAGTTGCAGATTTTCAAAGCTTCTATATCAAATCAGACCAAACAGTTCTGACTCACCTTGGCTTTTATTTCCATTTTCATTATAGAGCCAATGATAGTCATCATATCACTAATAATCACCAGGACATACCACCCATTTAGGAATTCCAGGCGATCTGCGCTGCACACGTGACGTTTGTATTTCTCCAAGAAGAACTTCACAAATCTCTGTTTTTTAAGCATTAGAAGAATAATCAGAAAGTGTCCATGGTTTCAGGCAAACTTTATTGCTATTGTTGTGTGCCTTCAACAACAACAACAACAAAAACAACTGTTATTTCTAACTTATGGCAACCCTAAAACAAATCTATCATGGGGTTTCTTGGCAATATTTGTTCAGAGGAGATTTGTCTTTGCTTTCCTCGGACACTGGGAGGATGTGACTTGCTCAGGATTACCCAGTGGGTCTCCATGGCTGAGTAGGAATTCAAACCCCAGAAGACTGGGAAAGAAAGCAATTTAAGGAAAGAATAACTGATTATGAAAATACATATATTTTCCCATTATCAAAGACACTGATTGAGGACTCAGGGAGCTTCCTTGGATTTAAGTGGAAACAAGTAATAGAGTTGTGTCATCTGCATACAGATGACACAGAACTCCAAAACTCCAGATGACCTCACCCAGCAATTTCATGTAGATATTAAAAAGTATAGGGGAAAGAATAGAACCTTGCGGGACTTCACAAGCCAATGGCCAGGGTTCTGAGCAGGTGTCCCCCAAGACCACCGTCTGGGTCTGGCCCTCCAGGAATGAGCAGAGCCACTGCAATGCAATGCCCCCAAGTCCCATCCCAGAGAGCCAGTCCAGAAGGAAACCATGGTCAATGTTATCAAAATCCGCTGAGAGATCCAAGAGAACCAACAGGAACATACTCCCTCTGTCTAACTCCCTGCAGAGATCATCCACCAAGGCAACCAAAGCTGTCTCCATTCCATGACCAGATCTAAAACAGGACTGCGAAGGATCAAGATAACTGGTTTCAATCAAGAATTCCTGGAGTTGCGTGGACACCACCCATTCCAGAACCTTGCCCAGGAAGGGGAAATTGGAAATTGGCCATTACTTAATGTTAAAGGGTTCAGGGAAGATTTTTTTTTAAATGGTCTTATGACTGTCTATTTCAGGCTTGATGGAATTTTACCCTGTCCCAGTGAGGTGTTGACAATACTTGCAATCCTGTCAACCAATCCCTTTCTGGCTTATTTGATAAGCCAGGAAGGGCAAGGATCTAGAGCGCATGTGGTAGTCCTCACAGTTCCAAGGATCTTGTCCACATCATCAGGCTGAATAAACTGAAATCAATCCATGCAGATAGGACAGACAGGTGCCTTGGGTACATCTGTTAGAACTGCTACAATGATGGTATCTAGGTTTGAGGGGATCTGAGCAACTTTGTCTGCAAAATGATGGGCAAAATCACCACATCGAGCTGCTGAGTGTACAGGGACTCCCCCCCCCTCCCCCCAACAGGCATCAGGGTGAAGAAGCCCTCTAACCACTCAAAACAGCTCCGCTGGTCTATTTGTTACAGATGCAATGCAGGCAGCCAGGTGGGAGTTCTTGGTTGTCCTCATTGTCTCCACACTAGTCATTAATTAGTACGTAATATGCAAAAGTCAAGCAACCTTCTAAACATAATTGAAATCAAGGCCAACTAATGCCTATGATTTCTGTAATTAAACTGGTAAAAAACCCCACAGGAACAAGGCACACACATGGGTATGCAGTTCAGAGTCTATTTCTTTCAACTTCTTCTTGCAAAAAAAAATTAATCACAGTATTTATAGCTTTTAGAAACAGATCCAAAGCAGTTAGCAGTGCAGACAGCATGATTTAAGTCTTACACTGAACTCTTCAAGAGAGCCCAGGGAAGTTACTTCATTCTATTACAACTTCCAGAGTCCCCCAGAGAGTATGGCCAAGCTACAAGCCAAATAGACTACAAACTATTCTTTCTTGAACATTTCTGCAGCCTCATCCCATCCCCACACACAACATATGTCTTGGGAAATTCAAAGGCAACTGTACATCAATCGGAAAGACAGGCACATACTTACTTTTTGCAGTTTGAGAGCAAGGATAATGGATCGTGTACAGAGAATAAGGGAAGCGATGCAGCTCACAATGACGAACCCATCAAAAACCAAGAGGTACTGAGTATTTTTTTGGACTAATATAGGAACAAAAGAAAAAAATAGGCATTTTCAAGCAAAAACAAACAGAAGGCTAAACCAAAACCTTATGTTCAGAACAAGTCCCACTTATTTTAATAGGTCTCATGACTGTAAAAGTGGAATTGCTGAAGGCATAAAATGCAGGGGGGGGGGGGGGGGGGGGGGGGGGGGGGGTGTCTACACATGCATACATAGGCTGCATTAAGTTCTAAACGCATATGGGATCAGGGCCATAGCCAAAAAAAATGGGAGGAGGGGTTGAAAAAATATTTTGCTAATCATAAAAGTAGTTCCATAACACAAAAATAATTTAAATAGTATGGTTAATTCTAGATTTTATATAGACTTAATTAAATCAATTTTCTGGTCTCCTTCATGGGGGGCTTTAAATCCCTCCCATGCCTTAGGCTTTGCCTGCCAGTTCTGGGTGGGCCACCTTGGTTGCTTGGTTGCTGCAAGTAATGGCTGTGAATAAATTGTCAAAATTTGTTAGTGATAGTGCTTGCAGTTCTGGAGGGACTCATTTAATTTTTGCTTCTCATAGACTTAGGATAGGGATTTGGTTAACCAGTTAAAATTAATGAGTAAGCCAGGTTTTTCTTTTCAACCTGAAAAATGGGGGGGGGGGTTGCACACCCACCCCCCACCCCCTTGGCTACAGCCCTGTATGTGATACACATCCATCTCCAGAACCCCAGTAAAAGGTACAGTGGATATATGTTTTGTTCTTGTTTATTAACTGAAACTGTAGGACTCGCTGGTTTCATATTTTGTCAAGCTGACATTACAGAACAATGCCTCAATTAGCTAGGAGACAGATTTCTTAGAGCAGCATGCATATAGCAGATACAAGGAACTACAAAGTTAAAATAACCCATGGCAAAGAAAATTTCCCCAAAAGCAGAGTGCAACAAAATTTGCAAAAACAGTTACATTTTCATGTGGTGCTTAGTTTTGAAATCTTTTGCACCAGCCTTTTCTCTCAGAGATCTGGGTTGAATGAAACTTAACAGCTTTGAAATTGATAGTATTATTTTACAGATTTTTAATCCTATCTTTCAATTTTAAAAAATCCCAATGTCATTATAAAATTATAACATAAAGAAGACCAGTTCTCCAGTTAGCTTTTGTTTTTATAAAACAGCTCTACCCCATTCCTTCATTCCAATTTGCAATTTAGCAAACATTTCCCTAGCTCTCCTACAACGTGTAATAATTTCTAATTCCAGTATCCAAATGTCAGCATGGTAACTTATACAGTGAAAACAATAACACATTTTTTTGCTATGAGCTTTCAAATCAACCCTGACATATGGCAAGCCTAAGATTTTTTTCACAGGAGCTTTGCCACTGCCTTCCTCTGAAGTCAAAATCATTCACTGTGTTTCCATGACTGAGTGAAGATCTGAATGCTGGTCTTCAAAGTCCTAGTACAGTGGTTCTGAACCTCTGGGCACCCAGACGTTTTGGCCTTCAACTCCCAGAAATCCTAACAGCTGGTAAATTGGCTGGGATTTCTGGGAGTTGTAGGCCAAAACATCTGGGGACAGAACAAGTTGAGAACCACTATCCTAGTCTAACACTCAAACCATTATACCACACTTGTAGATCAACAGTACATCTAGAGCAGGGGTCCCCAAATCTAGGCCCATGGGCTGGATACAGTCTTCCGAAAGTCATCTGCTCAGCCCTAAACTTTAGATTTAAGATTGCCCTAAGTCCAAAACAACTTGAAGGCATAAAACAAACAATCCTAATTAACTTGACTACATCATCACCCAATAGCAGATCTACACTTCTCATTGAAATACTGGTATGTTTATGTTGGTTAAAATAGTTCTTCAATAATTTGTTTTGCACAACAAATAAGGTATGTGCAAGGGGCATGGGAATTTGTTCATGTTTTTTTTTCAAACTATAGTCTGGCCCCCCAACAGTCTGAGGGACCGTGAACCTTACCAACCTGTATGGATATTTTACACTGCAACATTTCAGATGAATCCTCTAATTCATGTGTTCAGGTATAAGAACTTATGCATAAGATGACAAAACACCTACCAGTCATGAAGCACCTATCAGCATAATTCTATCTGATATCCACATCCACAATACTTACTTGAGCCAGATATATTCCAGTCTTTACATTCTTGGATGTCAGCATCAGTATCAAAAAATATTTTCATTTTACCACTATGTGCTCTATTGTTAAAAGTAATCTGTAGATATAAACATTGGAGTATTTTTTTACAAAACAAAATTATTTGCATGAAACAATAAAATGTTTACACTTTTTTATCTCTGGTTATCTGATGTAGGGACTGGCAATTTTCCTTCCCATGTTTCTTAGACTGGCACCTTACTTATGTCCATAGGTTATAAATGTTTCTTTCTTTCCCTAATAATAATAATAATAATAATAATAATAATAATAATAATAATAATAAAAGTGCGGTTTTCTGGTATTGTATATTTCTGCCGCTTCTCCGAGTGTTCATTTGTATTTTGATTCTGTAGCCCACTTTCAATGGATGTCCAGAATCAGCAGCATCCACCACGGTCCTGTCTATCCTGAGCAATGACCAAGCCAGCATATACTTTGTTTTGGTTTGTTTTCCCATAGTGCTAATGGGTTAGGTGCTCTTAGTTCCACTCCTAAACTGAGAACACGCTGACTTAGTTGGACCTGCTCGTAGTTACACCACCACCAGCACAGCTCTCAACATCCTTGGAGTAATTAAGCCCCCAACCACAACAAGGTGGCACCCATTGGGGTACCACCGCTATCTCCCAGAAGGGACTTGGGGCAACATATAATAATACCACAAACCACATAAAATACAAGTAAAATACATCAACGTTTACAACGATAACAATATCAATTAACTTAAAATGCCAGGAGAGAATGCTTCTGGAACATGGCCATACAGCCCACTAACATAAAACAAATTAGCATAAAACAACTTATAAAAATCCCAGTTCAATTTAAATACAATACTCAGAATACACTTATTCACTGAAGTGAATACACTTGTTCATTGACTAGAATTAGTCTATGGACCACCACTGTGGATTGCTTTATATCACACACAGTAATCTAAATAGGCAAAAACAAAAATGGATAGCACCATAAAACAGTTAAAACAAATCTTTAAAATATATGTACCGGTATTTAACATATATTTTATTGTAAGATTTTATTAAACACACATGCACAAGCCTTCCATAAGACCAGAGCTTTTACTTTTTTGGCCTGGCTGGAGATGTAGTCCAAAAAAAAAAAGATAGAACAATTATTAACCTGCATTTAGTAACAAGTCCTTTAAACCATACCCATATTAGAAAACTATCAATTGAGCACTTCTATATCAGAGGGACGGATGAAATAAATGATGGGCAGACAAAATGGCAAGCAGCTTGTTCCTGCCAATCCATCTGTATACTAATGATATTGCATCGTATACTAAGCAATATCATTATACTGTATACTAATGATATTGCTTAGTATACTAAGCAATATCATGCAGAGGCAAGAAGAAGTTTACCTATAAGGTACTGTAGATAAAGAAGTTGCTTCAAGTTTGATTTCCAATGGCTTATATTAATATGGCTGTCTCAATATATCTGATACTGGATTGGTAGTAGGTAAAACAATGGGCATTATTTTCATCTTTGTCCCACTCCATGGCTACAAGACACTTGACTGAAGATTTAAAGAAGTCCATCCTAATAAATTGCCTAAGATGGGGGGGGGGGGGGGATCAACCAAGATCCTACATTGCCAACTTAGATATGAATGCATATGTAAATATTGTCTCTCAGCCTGATTCCCCAAGCCAAATTTCACAACCAACAGCAATGGAAGACTATTTGGCTGATATCGCAAGATGACATTTCCAGCACCCTATTGCCAGCAATCTGCAGAGGGAGTTTCACTAGAAGTCATGTTTCTGATTATCGCAGACCTATTTGTTGGTTGTAGGGGGCTGGAAATATCATCCTGCTAAGCCCTGACAGTCAACAGAATATGTCTATCTCTCTGAGAAGCTTCAAGGTCAGACTCAAGAGGCATCTGCAATTGTGAATATGTAGTATAACTGAACACAAATGTGTGGGTTACAAATATATAATTGCAATACAGGATGCCAGCCCATGTCTTTTATATTTGGAATACAAGACAGCACTTACGGTATTCTCAAATTCATAACAGTCGGGCAGTTCACGATCATGAATGGTCTGTAGGTCAATGCCTTTTAGTTTAAAAGATATGTCAACCTGTATGAGCCTATAAATAAAGCAAAAAAATGATATGAGCTAATATTCCATTATTCTCCTTAAAAAGAATATATAAAAGCCTTGCTCGCACAAAACTCACTTTACCTATAAAACTCAAAGCTGAAAAATGATGAGTTCTTCAAGTCACTTGTTTCCTTAGTAGCCAGTTCTTGTGGGTCTAGCTGGATGCATTCTGCAATGGTGGTGGCAGGAAGAATACCCAAACGAAAGAAGAGATACAATAACTTTATGCTATACCAACATGGGCAAACTATGACAGAAATCCTATGGAATATGGTGTTAGTGAAATTTGTTTCCAAGCATACATAAACAAGACTATAGGATACTCATTTAAAATTTATTTAAACTTCAATGTAAATTGTGTTGTAACATCACAAAGCACTGAATCTCCAAGACAGAAGCTCAATTTCTGTAAACAAAATTCTTTATACTAGTATTGTAGTTCTTGTGTGCCTATGAACCATTTCTGATTTATGATGACCCTAAAGTGTCCACTATCATGGGTTGTCTTGGCAGAATTTGTCTATGTCCAAGGTCACCCAATAGATTTCTATGGCCGAGCAGGGATTTTAATCTTGGTTTACAGCATTCAAATCAAGCTGGATCTCTATTATCGCCCACTAAATCAATGAGTACCTTGTTCCTAAAAATAAATGTGAATGCCTATAAAATCTATGCAAGCAAGTCTTCACCTGCCCCAGACCTTTCCTCAATACACCAGCTGTTCCAAACTAGGTGGCCAAGACCTAAATAGATCAATGTCTTGCACAAAGTCACAGGCAGTCCCTTCTATTCTCTCATTGCTCGGCTTTAGTTTTCTCTCTGCTATGCTTACCAGCAGTGCAAAAAGCTAGAATCTTAAACCTACTTCACACTACAGTTTTAGGCAAAAGTATGATAGATGGGACTCAATGCCAAGACAGCGCAGCGAGTGAGAGACGCAGGTGCGACAGAGTCATGGCAAGATAGTTCACCAGAAAGGGGGAGGGGCAACAAAAACCAAGCATAGTGCTTAAGGCTATCTGGGTATCGTATGCAAACACGTTCAAATACGTAATGTCTTCACTTCCCTAATTCTGACCCGTGTCGCGCAACCAGCATTGGGTCCCAGCTATCATACTTTTGCCCACTTTTAAGATCTTGAATTCTACAAAAGCTGGTAACCAACCATAGCTTTTTAGTTTCTGGAACATAAAGTAAGGGTTAACTCAACACCTCTGCCTTTCATTAAGGCTTTTTTTCCATGTCAGGAGCAACTTGAGAAACTGCAAGTCATTTCTGTTGTGAGAGGATTGGTCATCTGCAAGGACATTGTCCAGGTGACAACCAGATGTTTTACTATCCCGTGGGAGGTTTCTCTCATGTCCCCACATGAGAAGCTGGAGCTGACAGACAGGAGCTTACCCTGCTTCCCGGATTCGAACCGCCAACATTTCGGTCAGAACATGCAGACAAACCATGCATAGTACAGCTGTTAAACCAAGCTATAATTATTCAAACATAACCTGTATATGCACACAGAAGAAATTCAATCTTCAGATTCCATTCAAAGGGCACTATACTCACACATATAACAATTTTTTCAACATTGAGGAATTGGCATCATTTGATAACAAGCATGCAATCACACAATGGTGATGGGTTTTTAACAAATATTAGGCAAGGCATAGTCATCTGCATGTCCTCCCAGCTGCACTACGAAGAGCAGTGCAAATACAACAGACTTCTGTTTCAGTCTTACCTGTTTCAATAGTACTGTCTATGTGCAAGGTATCATTGGACGGGAGCATTGTGCCTTTCCTGTATTGCTTTTTGCATATCTGTAAGCCTGCCAAGTCCTCTTCATCTTGCTCATAACCAAGTGTACCCAGAGATATATTCTTCAGTTGTCGGTACTACTTGCAAAGGAAACACACAAAATAAGAAGAAGAGTGGCTAAAGGTGAGTGCTTAGTCTATCCCAGGAGAGCATAAAAGAAGCACTGACCCCCTCTCTATATTTCCTATATTCTTTTGAGGGAAATGGGAAATTGCTATCACCGCTGCTATTTTCACGCTCAGGCATTTTAAAAGGCCAGAAGCTGTGCTGCAGGAGACAAAACAGAAGGAAGTTGGTGCTTCTTCTGGGTTCTTCTGGGATGGACTAGGCTCTCCCTGTTTGAAATTTTACTCAAAGGAAGGGGATGGTTCTTTTTAAAATAAAAGTTAAGGTACAGTACTTATTGACCCATTAATAAGTCAACACAGTGTTTTTGGATTGATTTTTGAATAAAAAATCAATCTAAATGAGTATATACAGTATTTCATTTGAAACATTAGTATTTTGTCAGCAGCCTGATCCCAAATAGCTAGTCCAGTGGTTCTTAACCTGTAGGTCCCCAGATGTTTTGGCCTTCAACTTCCAGAAATCCTAAGGGCTGCGATTTCTGGGAGTTGCAGGCCAAAACATCTGGGGGCCCACAGGTTGAGAATCACTGCCATAGGCCTTCACAGAAAAGGAACAACCCACTGGGATATTAAAAAGGTTTTCCAACATTTATTGTAACACGTTTGCAATTTCCCCTCTTTGTGTAAATACCATGAACACTTGCCTGGTTGATTGCAAAAAAGATACTATCATAAACATCTTGCTGTGTGTACACACTGCAGCTGTAGTCATCTTCATCCACACCAGTGTAGTTTTTCAGGAACAAGTGCTTGAAAGCCACCATGTTCTCTTCTTTGAAAGAAACCACCAACTGATTACTCAAACCAAACAGGATGAGCTTTAAAAATGAATGAAATAAAAGAAAACAGAGTGAGAGTAAATGGATTTGACAATGGACCATTTTCAAATATAAGGAGCGATGAAGTTAAAAGCAAGTTAAGCATGAATATCAGGTCTGTATGTTCCTCTCTTCTCCTTCAAGCATCAATATTAGTGTTTCAATCTTGTTCTGTCCAATTTCTTTACCAACTTGGATTTTAAATCAAGGCTTGTTCTGAAGGTAAGATCCTGGCTAGTAAACTGACAATAAGCTAGGGTTCCTCTATGGCAGTGGTTCTCAACCTTCCTAATATTGCGACCTCTTAATAGTTCCTCATGTTATGGTAACCCCACACCGTAACATTATTTTTCTTGCTACTACACAACTGTAATTTTGCTACTGTTGTGAATTGTAATGTAAATATCTGATATGCAGGATATATTTTCATTCTCTGGATCAAATTGGGCACAAATACCCAATACACCCAAATTTGAATACTGGTGGGGTTGGGGGGAGGGACTGATTTTGTCATTTGCAAGTTGTAGTTGCTGGGATTTATAGTTCACTTATAATCAAAGAGCATTCTGAACTCCACCAATGATGGAATTGAACCAAACTTGACACACAGAATTCTAATGACCGACAGAAAATACTGGAAGGTTTTGGTGGGCATTGACCTAGAGTTTTGAAGTTGTAGCTCACCTGCATCCAGAGAGCACTCTGGACTCAAACAATTATGGATTTGGACCAAACTTAGCACAAATACTCAATATGCCCAAATGTGAACAGTGATAGAGTTTGGGGGGAATAGACATTTGGAAGTTGTAGTTGTTGGGATTTATAGTTCACCTACAATCAAAGAGCATTCTGAACCCCACCAATGATACAATTGGACCAAACTTCCCACACAGAACCTCCATGACCAACAGAAAATATTGTGTTTTCTGATGGTCTTTGGAGACCCCTCTGACACTATCCTCATGACCCCCCCCCCCCAGGGTCCCGACGACCAGGTTGAGAAACACTGCTCTATGAGCTGTAATGATGTATATACTTTGACTTAAACAATACAATTAAATCAGTTTGATACTGTTAGGATGTTGTGTGTTAGGGAAAACTACCCAAGAAATACACCAGAACATCAAAATGTACAAAACAGAGTAGTTATATTTTGAGCATTCAGCTCACACACGGCAAACAAAGCGTGAAGTGCCATGTGGCTGTAAAGAATTTAGAGCTTAGGAAGCAAACATGCAGAGTTCAATAATTACAAAAAGTTTACGGTATTTACAAAATAATAACTACATTTCTTAACAGTGAAGAACAGGGTCCTAGCTATTCTAGAACTCCATCTCTTTTAGAGTTCAAAAGAGAGGAAAAAATCTCCAATCACTACCTCTCTCACTACCTCTCATACAGCACACACCAAGATGCAAAAACAAAACTCAGAAGTAGAAAAGTATACATTTTACACAACCATTCAGAATGAGATCAGAGACAGAGAGGAGAGAAGAAATAGATACATTCCAACTGTCATACAGGAGACATGGGGAAAGGGAATTTCCCTCCTCCTATTCTGAAACTAACTACTCCTCATTGAGAACTGTAAACTTGGGCAGTGTGAGGTTGAATTCCAACAAATACCACTTTAACTGCCATTGTTCCCATCAATAAATTTCCAGGATTTTTGGTTTCAAGAAGTAGTTAAAACTCCAGAGATAATTAAATATCTTTAGTAGACAATTTTAATTATCATATGATGATTAACTTAAATGTATACAATAGCCAACATAGGTCTTCAAGCCTAAAAACTAAAGGTTGCAAAGGTAAAGGTTTTCTCCTGACATTAAGTCTAGTCGTGTCCGACTCTGGGGGTTGGTGCTCATCTCCATTTCTAAGCCAAAGAGCCGGCACTGTCCGTAGATACCTCCACGGTCATGTGGCTAGCATGACTTCATGGAGTGCTGTTACCTTCCCGCTGGAGCGGTACCTATTGATCTACTCACATTTGCATGTTTTCAAACTGCTAGGTTGGCAGAAGCTGGGGCTAACAGCGGGAGCTCATGCTGCTCCCCATATTTGAACCTGCAACCTTTTGGTCAGCAAGTTTAGCAGCTCAGCGCTTTCTTCAAGCCTAATACTATCTATTGGTTTGCAGTAGTTCTCCAAGATCTTGGTGGTAAAATTTCCTTAGTATTGCTTTCAGTGATACAAGTAACTGGGCTTGAACTAAAAATACAAGGAACTGAACTTATCTCTTGCATATGTTTGCCCACTGAAGTGTGGCTCCTCTCTATCAAATTAATTTGAATGAACAAACAAATGAATGAACAAAAACACAGATAACTTGAGTTCCTCTCTTTCTCTTTTCAAGCACTGATATCACTTGACCTTTTTTGAGTTCTCACTGGGAGTGGGGAGGTGTGAGTGATTTACTTAGTATCAGTCCTGTAATAAATAAAAGTGCAGACACTGGCAAACATTATCTACTGGCGGCTAGTACCATGATGAGATCTGATTCTCTGCAGTTTAATGTTTAATAGCAAAGAATTCTAGAAGCAGCAGTGCATATTCAATATGATTTGTATACTGGGTAAATACAAACTAACAGAAGATTTGGCACCAGAGGCAGAGAGAACATGGTAAAAGCATGGATAAGTCCTTAGCCACAAAAGAGGAGAGTGGTTCAAAAGAGGAGTTATAGCTATTTTTCTATCAAAATTACAATATGCACTAGTGAACTGAAACCACCAAGTTGGTATACATAGACAAAGATAAGTTAATACTTGTATAAATAGAGAAAAATATTTTGAACCACCTAGAGATAATTTCAAGGTTTTTTCCAAAATGCATCCAGGCATGTTTTTGTCTTTCAACTTCTCTTATTTTTCTCCACCATTTTGGTGGCCAAATTTAAAGAGGTGTGTTTTTTAAAATACCAGGTTAATTGGTGAGACAGAATTATCTGCTCATCTCTTTTCTGCTGTTCATGCTTGTTCAATAAGGGATTCTTAAGACGGCTTGTTTGCTTGTTTAGGATTCCAAAGACTTTAAGTTAGCAAGCTTTATAGGAGGCATGCCATACTGTTCACCATGAACTAGGTCCAACATGAAAAAGTACCTTTTACAGCAAATAATTAAAGCATGTTTCGCTCCATGATTGCTGCTGTGAAATGGAGTATGTCTACAACCCCAAATGACTTTGAAATACTATCAGACAAAATCCTGGATCATAAGACTATCAAAATGACCAATTACAACAGCTATAATTATCTCTAGTTTGAGAGGCAATATATCTCTCAGCTTCAGTTGCTTGGATGCAATCACATTCATATTTCGCAGGGAGGGCATTCCATAGGCTTTTGGTTGGTTAATAAAGCAATTCTGAACTGCAAAGGTCTTTGATGTGATCTGGAATAATAATTCTTAAGAAGAGTAAACTAACGCAGATATGAAGAACCAATCACCCATAGGCTAGATTTAACCAATGTCGACTTTCATAAACCTGGTGCCAAGGAATTCCATATTGCACCAAATTCTCTGCCTGTTTCTTTTACCTACTCGGAGTTTCCTTACATCCAATGGATTCTTTAACCAGCAAATCCCAAGACAAAGTGCACTGGGTGCTTGTGAAAACACAGGTCCCAGCAACTGACAGACAATCTGACCTGGACCTTCCAAGGTCTCCCCAACCTTCACATCTGAAGGGGAAAGGAGAGGGGGCTGTGGTATTAGGAATGACAGGCTGATAAACTCAAAGAGATTTTTAGCCTTTGAAGGTGTCACAACCCATGCCGAGGCCACAGATCTAAATGAATATAAAGAATTCAGGCCCAAAATGATAGTGGCTACTCCTTCAATATTTGCTGAGGCAAGTTAAAGTAACATGCATAAACACACAGAGAGGAGAAAAACATATCTGATGATCAAATCCCATAAGCCAAGTTTACAGGAGGGCAGTTGTAAATTACCTTTTTTCCATTTTATGCTTGCTGGAAATGCTAAGCACCTAAAGCAGTAACCGGAAGTAACTGAGAGCCTCTTTACTTCTTAATTGACTTACAAGAAAGACTAACATGTAATTTCAAATCAGTATATATTTTTAACTTACCTGTGTAGTAACCATAACTATCTTCAAAATCTGAAGCCCCAGTTTCCATGGGATTTGACGTCTAGCTCGGTATTTTTCACATGGATTCATGAAATAGAACTTCAAATCCTGCCTTAGCAATTCCTCTTCCTTACAGTCTTCATCCGGCTGAGTCATCATACTTCTGCCAAACACAACAGGTTACGGTTTCAAATGCTATGCATTTGGGTAATTTTACAGGCATACAGACATATCATGTTTACATTCAGAAGTAAAAACAGAAAGATCTTCAAATGAAAGAACATGAAAATGTATTTTTGCCATTTTACAACAAAATACACACTACAGCAGTGTTTCTCATCCTTCCTAATGCCCCGACCCCTTAACACAGTTCTTCGTGTAGTGGTGACCCCCAACCATAAAATTATTTTTGTTGCTACTTCATCGTTTTAGTTTTGCTACTGTTATGAATCGTAATGTAAATATCTGATATGCAGGATGTATTTTCATTCACTGGACCACATTTGGCACAAATATCCGATACACCCAAATTTGAATATTGGTGGGGTTGGGGGGGGGATGAATTTATTTTGTTATTTGGGAGTTGTAATTGCTGGGATTTATAGTTCACCTACAATCAGATAGCATTCTGAACTCCACCATACTTGGCACACAGAACTCCCATGATCAACAGAAAATACTGGAAGAGTTTGGTGGGCATTGACCTTGAGTTTTAAAGCTGTAGTTCACCTACATCCAGATAGCACTGTGGACTCAATCAATGATGGATCTGGACCAAACTTGGCATGGATACTCAGTATGCCTAAATCTGAACACTGGTGAGGTTTGCTGAAAATAGATCTTGACATTTGGGAGTTGTAGTTGCTGGGATTTATAGTTCACCTACAATCAAAGAACATTCTGGACCCCACCAATGATACAATTGGACCAAACTTCCAACACAGAACCCCCATGACCAGCAGAAAATGCTGTGTTTCCTGATGGTCTTTGGCAACCCTTCTGACACCCCCTCATGACCCCCTTAAGTTGAGAAACGTTGTACTATAGCATCCTGTTTACACATTTGATACTTTTCAAAAATGTCTTTGCTCCAAATAAAATAGCAAAATTAACATGAAATAAGCCAAATTAGTATAAGGTAAGGAAAACTTGCAGTTGTTTGAAGAAGACTTTACTACTATGGAAGCATATTCAAGTTTCTGTGCTGCTAGTTCAGTTCAACCAATCTGATAGCACTCAACATAAAACCACAAGCAAATTCTGATCCCCTTCCCCACCCACACGGGTAACTTTCTTCAGTGATGTCTTTTGCTCAGTAAAAGATCTTAAATCCATATCTGGAGATTAGATACTGATGCAACTGGGGGAAAATCAGTTATGGAGAAAGGATTAGACAACTCCCTTCCCTGCTATTATTTCACCAGGAAGTGTATGTACTGTTTGTTCTTCAAAGTGAGTTAAGTAAAGATCTCAGTCTTTAGAGTTTTTATACTTACAATTCTGTAACATGGAGCTTGGTCCTAACAAACTGGTAAGAAGGGTTCTCGCAGCAATCCTCCAACATGTTTGCATCTGATCTTAGCGACTAACACCCGGCAAACCCAATGATCCTTCTTGTTTCCTTCTTTTTTATTTTTGCTATGTTTAGCCATTCAATACTGTGCAAACAGGACAGCCGTAAAACTTCCCTCTGCAGGAGGAGCATTTGAAGCCAAAGGTCTCTGTGGTTGTGTATTAGCCAAACATATCCTGAAGTTGCCACCTATCTCATGACTAAAAATACTGCACTGAAAGGCCCACTGTACTCTCCAACGTTACAGCAAACAGCACCTTCCATTTAACACAAACCTTCTGGATGCCCTGAACTGCAAAACAGAGATTTGAGCCACGGTTCACAGCAGCAATGTAGTTTAACCTGTGTCAAAACCTGGAAGCTTTTGGAACAGAAGCACGCTCACAAAGGGCAATCTTTGGATTTGGTTTTATTCCATCTTACAATAACTAGAAGAAAGACTGTTCTGAAATGTTTTCCCGTCAACCCCCATGTATATCATTCCCCAGTCCCATCCTCCTCTACTGGCTACATTCAATTCCCACAGTGGCTATCCTACAGTTTCGGTTTCTGATAAGGCCAGGTGGTCTTATCTATATTGTGCTCCCATCCATTGTCTCAGCTGCCCCCTCTTCACATCATGTCATGGGGGACGGAGCAGCTAGTTTCACGCTGGTATGGGCACCCTGACAGACAGACTGGGCTGATGCTAAGCATGGATCGCACCCAAGCAGAATTTGCAGTTCACCAACAGGAACAGAACTGCAGAAGATATATCATTCAGAGTATTTTTCATTTTTACACATGCTATTTATTTGTTTACTTGCAGTATTTATATCCCACCCTTCTCACCCTGAAGGGGATGCAGCGCAGTCTTACAATAGGCAACAATTCAGTGCCATAAAACATTAAATAGACATATAATAAAAATAAACAGATCTATATAAATAAAAATGTAATGTTTGTGGAATTAACATAACTCAAAAACCACTGGACCAATTGACACCAAATTTGGACAGCATAAACCTAACAACCCAATGTATGTCCTTGTTGTAGTTGCTGGGATTTATAGTTCACCTACATTCAAAGAGCATTCTGAACTCCAGCAATGGTGGAATTGAACCAAACGTGGCACACAGAACTCCCATGACCAACAGAAACCACTAGAAGGGTTTGGTGGGCATTGACCTTGAGTTTGGGAGTTGTAGTTCACCTACCTCCAGAGAGCATTGTGGATAGATCTGGATCAAACTTGGCACAAATACTCCATATGCCCATATATGAACACAGATGGAGTTTGGGGAAAATAGACCTTGACATTTCGGAGTTGTAATTACTGGGATTTATAGTTCACCTACAATCAAAGAGCATTTGAACCCCACCAACGACAGAATTGGGGCAGACTTTCCACAAAGAAACCCCATGACCAACAGAAAATACTTAAGGCCACCCAGTCCAGTTCCCTTCACCAGGGCAAGAAAATGTAATCAAAGTCCTCCTGACAAAGAGCCATCCAGTCATAAATATAGATATATATGATTCACACAGAGAGAGATATAGTATAATAGATTTGAAAGGGACCTCTAAAGAATGACAATTATATGTTGCATATTCCAGAGTAGGCAAACCAGACACTCTCCACATCAACACTGACAAAGAAAGAACAAGAAATACTGTTTACCCAGAAGCATAAAGAAATTACATATATAATAAACCAACACTTTCTCATAACTTTATTTTCCAGATCACCAGACTGGGCAACAGCAACGCGTGGCAAGGGATAGCTAGTTAAAATATAAGATTTAAAAACAATTTAAAAAGTTAAAACCAATGATTAGCAAGAACCACATTCCTCATCTTGTTGCTTTTACCTTCTTAAGCTTCAGAGACAGCAACATCTCAGGATTAGGGAATGAACAGAACATACCTGGAGGTCAAAGTGGTCTGGATCTACAGAGCTGTTCCTCAAATCCCTTCCACCAGTGAATGAGCAAACCTTCCAAATAGCAATTATGTATAACAATACACTATCTGGTCCTCTTACCTCACTGGCCTTTATAACACACCCACTTTGCCCAAAAGTTCAGATAAAAGCACAATCAACTATACATAATAAAAATCAGTTAAATATATTGCTGAAGTACCAACTGAAACAATGTATATTTTACATCATTTCAATTGGTATTTTTAAATTATTTCAGTTAGTACTGAAATATAGTATAAATGGATTAAATCAACCAAGGAAGTCTCAACCTTGAGTTTTCACAAGCTGATAAGGCAGTTGATAGTGAAGTATCCTGGGGGTCTTTTTTCACAGGGTCACCATGAGTTGAAGTTAACTAAATAATTTCTTTTTATTGTCTCAGAAGCAACTTGAGAAACTGCAAGTCGCTTCTTGTGTGAGAGAATTGGCCGTCTGCAGAGATGTTGCCCAGGGTGTTACCATCCTGTGGGAGGTTTCTCTCATGTCCCAACTAAATGGTAAATAAACAACAAATGTTTGTTTAAAAATCTAGCACATCCATTTTAAAGCCTCTGGCCATCATATATGGTTAGTGAATTGAGATCTGCTCTGTGGGTCCAAACTGTAGGTCGATTGAACCCATGTCGATTTGTATCAAGTTTTCCATGTCGTTGCTATGCTTCCTATCTCATTCATTTCACCAGTGGTTGGCAAACTGGAGAATATTTTGACTCTAATCTGTGGGATGGGAGGCTCAGGAGCAATTTTTACAAAATTAAACTAGAAGTTTTACAGAATTGCCTAGCGAAACAACAGGAAACTTTTCAACAGCAACTGTCTGTATCCATCATGAGATTAATAATAATAATAATAATAATAATAATAATAATAATAATAATGGAATAACTATATGGCAGAACTGGACATAGTTTTAATGATTATTTATTTATTTATTTATTTCGAGCATTTCTACCCCGCCCTTCTCAACCCCCGAAGGAGGACTCAGGGCGGCTTACAAAAGGCACAATTCGATGCCAGCAATACACATAGTAAGATAAAATACATAGCAGCAACAATTATAAAATAATCAAAACAATCCAGTTATACAATACAACTAATAAAAACCAATCTAGTGATCAACGTTCGCCAAGCTCAAAATCCGTAAATTCATTCCGCATTGTCATAATCCTATCCAATTCTAGTCGTCATTGTCCTTTATCTGTCTGCCAGATTACCCAAAGGCCTGGTCCCATATCCATGTTTTTAGTTTCCTTCTAAAAGAGAGGAGGGATGTCGATGACCTAATTTCCCCGGGAAGCAAATTCCACAGGCCACCACCGAGAAGGCCCTGCTCGTCCCCACCAACCTCACTTATGATAGAGGTGGGGCCGAGAGCAGGGCCTCTCCAGAAGATCTTAAACTCCGAGGCGGTATGTAGAAGGAGATGCATTCGGACAGGTACGCTGGGCCGGAGCCGTATAGGGTTTTGTAGGTCAAAACCAGCACTTTGAATTGTGCTCGGAACTGGATCGGCAGCCAGTGGAGCTGACATAACAGAGGGGTGGTATGTTCCCTGTATGATGCTCCGGTGAGTAATCTGGCTGCCGCCCATTGGACTAATTGAAGTTTCCGAACAGTCTTCAAAGGCAACCCCACGTAGAGTGTGTTGCAGTAATCTATTCGGGATGTAACAAGAGCATGGACCACTGTGGCCAGTGGTCCATGCTCTTGTTATCGATTGAAGTATGTTTCATTATAATGTTTGATTTTATTGTTGATGTTTTTTTTATATTGTATATTGTAATTGTGTCCTTGGTGGCATTGAATTCTTGCCTTGTAAACCACCACGAGTCGCTGGAAGGCTGAAAGGGGCGGTATAGAAATGTACTAAACAAATAAAATAAAATAAATAATAATGGATGCAAAGAATTCCTCCACACTATGGTCATCATTATCCCATCCAGCTCAGAGGTTAAGTCCAGAGCATGTCACACAAAATGAGCAGAACCAGACATTATTTGGAATAGACTCAATTTGGAGGACAAAATTGGCAGAACAGTCTCAGTATGGAAGCTGAAGTTCCAGTGTACTCATATCCATCAGACTGCAGATCATAGTACAGGCAGAACATGCCTTTTCCAAAATGTTCAAGATTAGAAGTGATTTTGATTTTTTTTTAAAAAATTAGAATACCTATATTTGTATATATGCACATATTGAGAGAGCTAGGAGACAGGACCCAAGTCTAAATGTGAAACTAATTTATGTTTCATATATACTTGAGTATAAGCCAACCTGAATATAAGCCGAGGCACCTAATTTTACCACAAAAAAACTAGGAAAACCTATTGACTTGAGTATAAGCCAAGGGTGGGAAATGAAGTAGCTACTGGCAAATTTCAAAATAAAAACAGATACCAGTAAGATTATATTACTTGAGGCATCAATAGGTTACATGTTTTGAATATTTACATAAAACTGTAATTTAAGGTAAGACTGTCCAACTCCGATTAAATTATTATTCTAACCTTCTTCAATGTAGATGTGCTTATGTATCCTTCCAAAAATCACCATAATTTAACTATACATTTTTGGGGAAATGCTGTGTGTATATGAATAAGGAAAAGTGGGAAAGACTGGTACTGAGAGCAAAGGAGAGGAAAACGCACGCTGCGTAAGAAAGGAGAAGAGGAAGGTGCATGCTGCGTGAGAGAGGAGAGGAAGGGGAGTTGGGTTGCTGTGCAGAGAGGTGAGGTCCTGGCAGGAAGGTGTGGGGCTGAAAAACAAAACACTTAAAAACAATACATTCTGAGTTAAACACATAATCCACAAGCATAATCCGGGCTGTCCCAATGGTCATTGCATATTGTTCCAAGTCAATCTATTGCACAAGTTTTCTAAAGGTTTGGTCACAAAGCCACATTTTCACTCTCTTGCGGAAGGTCAGGAGCAAGGGGGCTGATCTAACATTGCTGCGGAGGAAATTCCACAGTCGAGGAGCCACCACTGAGAAGACCCTGTCTCTCATCTCTGCCAATCGCACCTGCAAGGGAGGCAGGACCGAGAGCTGGGCCTCCCCAGATGATCTTAAACTCTGTGGTGGTTCATAGAGGGAAATACATTCAGACAGTAAGC